AGTCACCACAACGAATTATCAACGTTTTAACATTCAAATTGTCAAGCTTTATTATCTGATCTCTCATGAGTGCGTTTAATGGTGAAACAACCAAAATGAAAGAACCATTCGTATAAAGCCAAGAGTCAAACACAAATGGTAACATCTGAAAAATCAAAGATTTTCCAAAACCTGTAGGCAAAACAACAAAACGTCTTTCTTTCTCACAACAACGTTTTTTACCGCGTTTTCCTGCTCTTTTCGAAGTGTTAATGTCCCCAGATTTAGACAACGTAAAGCTGTTAACAAGGATTCCTTGAATTTAATGTCTGCTGAGGCCGCCATTATGATTTGTCGAGCTTGCGCAGAACGACCGGAACTCCTAAATTCTAGGACTTCCGGATTCTGTGTCCCCAGAGCCCTTCGGCCCTCGTGCTCAGTCTCCGACGGTTAAGAGGGCCAAGCGGCTCTGGGGACGAGAATGGATCGAGCTGAAAAAAGTGGGACCTGGTGTAATGTAGATTCCCCTGAGACCAAGTGGTCAGTTGTCAACCAATCAAAAGGCAGTACCTGTCGCACTGGCTAAAGTTGAATGTGGTACGCTTTTTAAAATACAAAATTTCACACAATTCCCGCCGTCGCGACTTCCTGTGGTTATCTACCTGACTTTATTTGTCAAACCTGGCCACTGTAGTCAAGGAACATGAGCACTTGATATACTGTATTAATTTTAGGGGCCATAATGTTAAGTTTTAAGTTTTAACTCTCTTGGTATTAACGAAGAGAAGTTTGTAATGTATCGGACAAATCAAAGCTTCAACATGCCCCCCCCCCGGCATACCCCGGGCATTTGACACCTTCGCCGTCCCGGGCAGGAGGGAGTCTTCCAGGGGGTTGGGAATTTGATCCCCATGCTTTAAGGGTGGGGAATTTGAACTGCACCCTCGATTTCATGTAAAATCTTTGGCGTGGCGAGCTATCATGGGGGACGCGGTGTTAGAGGATTTTCGTGGAAAAGATTGTGCCTTTTACGACGAAAGGGCTTAAACAAGTTTTGTGCCGTATTTGAAGTATTTAAATTGTAACATTTTTAATATTGGATTCAGGCTTTGAATGTATGAATGTATTTTATTGTTGTGTTTACAATGAAATACAATACCTATACCGGCGATTCAATACAACAACATCAAATATAACTAGAAATACGTATCTCACAATAACCGTCGCGAAACTCGGTTTGGTAACGGCACTCAAGTTAAGCCCTGTCGGTCGGGGTTAAGAACTGGATGGGTGACCAACCGCGAATATCGTCGTAAAGGTCTATACGTTGTTCTTTGTTTTGTTCTCTTTCTTTAATGCCTATTGTGTGGTATTATTGTTAACAGTGTATTGAGAAGCAGATTTAGCATTATTTCGGCGTCCGGATTTAGAAAAAGGCAAAAACAAAGAAGAAATATGGCAGTGCAGTTCGCCTGAAAATTATTATACTTCGGGCCGTAATACTGAACTGAAGCTTTGCAGACGTTGATCTATATATCGGCGGGGAAACCGGCAAACTAAGAAGTCGGGGTTTTCCACACTGTAAAACGATCATAATGCCTCTGATTCCAATCTCCTGTTCCTCTGTCTCTTGTTGGTGGCGTTGCCTTCGCCGTGCTGGGCGATGTTCTCTCTGCTCCGCGGTTTCTTGTTGACGTCTTCTCCTTCGTTGTTCACGCTAAATCTGAAGTCGGCGTTCTCGTTCCAGAGGAGTTTCGGTGGAAAATTTGCTTGGGAAATTGTTCGTGATTCACCGATAGTAAACTTTGTTTCACAGACGATGAATGCCATGAATAAACACATCAAAACCTTGGTCATCGTCGGCAAAGTCTATGTTGCCTGGAAACGCAAAATGCTCCATGACGTCATTGGCGGACACCAAGAATATATATTCATGAAAAGATTTATGGCGCATCGAATTTTGCAGCTGGCTAAGACCACGCGTGGTTAGCAGACTACTCGCGCTTCGCGCGCGACGAGATTATAAAGTCGCTACGCTCGGAATAAAATAAAAAGCTCAGGTCAACTACTTTGACCTACTGCAAGTGTGTTAATTAATAAGGTGAGCGATGATGCATGTCAATGAAATGGTCATGATGTAGTAATCTCAGTAGGTGGGATCTTTTTTTATAGAACGCTTTGTATGTTGCATGACGAAGAAAAGCTGAGCATTCAGTGACCTTGTAGCAGTGATTTCCGCCGCTTTGCACGAGACTTTTGTTCGTAGTAAATACACCGTATTCACAAATGGCGGACACGCGGGAAAAAACTGGTGCCTAGTCATGAAAGCGAGGCGTTGGAGGGTAAACAAAAATTGCAAATGAAGACTTTCAGTGAACTTGCAGAGTGTTTAGCACGGATCCCACCTAAAATAACTTTGTACGGACTTCTCTTTAAATACAATGACGTGGGATGTCTTCTGCTTTTAATGTTTAGTACTGATTTGCTGTTTGCAATCAAAAGGGACGCGTATATCTTCAAGGAAACAGGATGATTTTGTAGGTTGCCGAAGCCTCAGAAGCTCGACAAGTGGGTGATGGCTAGAGAAAAGCGGCAAACATGTTGGCCCAAACTTCACGCTGAAACCGAATGCGAAAGCCAGCTCACTGCAACTCTGTAAAACAGAAGTAAAAACAGATATTGGTGGCAAGAAAAAAAGAAATAAGCGACGGATATATGGCCTACTTGTCAACGGAAGAGACCTCCGCCATTACTCAAAACAGGTCAAGTCGAGAGCGGGTGAAAGATTCATTTACGAGACTCATTCATTCATGTCAGTGTCATTTTACACATATCTATGTATGTCTGTATTTACAACTTCCTTTGGATGATATTAATTCCGTCGCTTTGGACTGAATTGTTAGAGGTACGTTGGCAGAGCTTAGCAAATTCAGAGCAAATTTAAAATCTTTTGATTTCTTTGTCATTGCGAAATAAAATAATTTTATCAAAACTAGAAGCCCTAGTGTGTGAATCTTATGGCTTGCTATTTGCCTGGTCTCCTTTACGGCTTTATCTCGGAGAGCTCTTGGTAAAAAAGTGGTATAAAGCTCACATTTTACTAGGTTAAACTTTTAAGGCAATGTTCTTGTCAGGACTGAACACGGCAAGCTTCTGTTTCGAATCATTAAATGCGAGTCTGGATCCGTTTAAGAAGACCTTCATTTTATTTATTTATGTATTCTTCACTTTTAAAATATTATGGAACATGAAGTTAAAACTCTTAACAGCCAAAGATAAGAAATAGGAAAATTACTCGCTGAAATGAAATGTGGCCGGCTTACCGAGTCTGCCGAGTAACAAGTTGAAATTTTGAGCGTACTCCACTCGATCGCTCCTGCATTTATACCAAAAAGATAGTTCTAATTGATGTGCTTCATCGATAAAGACCAGAGAATAACGTCCTGGCAAATAAACACCAAACATAACTTCATCGAAACCTCAGTCACCGCTTCTTTCCTGTCTTCCTTTTTTCCATCTCGATTTGAACTGTTTTGTTCAATGGCACACGTCTCTTGCGTTAACAAGTAGGCCATATATCCATCGCTTATTTCTTTTTTTCTTGCCACCAAGATTTGCATTGTTTATATTTCTGTTTTACCGAATTGCAGTGAGCTGGCTTTCGAACTCGGTTTCAATGTGAAGTTTGGGCCAACATGTTTGCCGCTTTTCTCCAGCTATCGCCCACTTGTCGATCTTCTGATGCTTCGGAAACCTACAAAATCATCCTGTTTCCTTGAAGATATATGCGTCCCTTTTGATTGCAAACAGCAAATCAATACTAAACATTAAAAGCAGAAGACATCCCACGTAATTGTATTTAAAAAGAAGTCCGTACAAAGTTATTTTAGGTGGAATCCGTGCTAAACACTCTGCAAGTTCACTGAAAGTCTTCATTTGCAATTTTTGTTTACCCTCCAACGCCTCGCTTTCATGACTAGGCACCAGTTTTTTCCCGCGTGTCCGCCATTTGTGAATACGGTGTATACGCTGACAGTTTTTCTCAGTTTTTGTTATATTTATAAAGATTTTGTTCGACAACTGAAGGCGTTTCCGTTGTGCCTGTGAAATGACCCCGGGGTGGGGGCATTTGATCACCTGAATGGACCCTAGTGTGGGGCATTTGAACGGAATTTTGGTCCGGGTAGGGAGGAATTTGAAAAAAGATCAGATTACACGAGGAGATAAGGAAAGCTTAACACGAAGAATATATACAGTCGCTTCTGTTGGAAAACCTGGTGTTGGGGAAAAAATCTAACCAGCAAACCAAAAAAATGAGAACAAAAACGAATTACAAGCCTTAAGCGAACGACAAAGGAAAAGAAAACAAAGCATTTTTTTCAAAACCTGGCCGAGTTTATAACGAAATGAAATAAAATACCGACGTGCCGTTCATCCCATGTCATAGGAAACATTTCAAATAGCGCAGCGAATCTTTCTAAGTTTCAATCGGGTAACAAAAAGCCTCGGGAAATTTGACAGGAGGTATAAATGATTAAACTGTGCAAATATTTATCTACGATGTGAAACCGAACCGACAGTAGATTTGTAGCTGGACTTAATAATATTGCCGATCGCTTCCTCGGCAAAGCTGATTTTATTCTTTCAAAAAAGATCCCTCAGCCACCCTTTTACATAGCAGGTTTGTAAAGCCACCAGACTGAATCTAAGAACTGACTCTCCTCCGGAACCTCATAAAGTATTAATAGTGACATGCATAACACCTTTTCAAGAAAATAATGCTTGCAACAGGAAGGGCCCAAGAAACGGTCAAATGGGGAAAAAAGGAATTTTCTTCCTATATGATTTGCTCGTTGGCACTCTATAGATAGATACACCTAGTATTTATTCTTTTTATGTCTCTAAATCCAATCGTTTTTTGCATCTGATTGAATGTGAGGACGGTTACTTACTAAAACATGCAGAGAAAACAAATCTTGCTTGATTTCATGCAGTGCCTCAAAAATATATCATTATATAATTATCTATTTACTAGGAAGCGTGAAAACAAAGCCTACGTACTGAATGTGGAGTCTAAACAAATTCCTGTGTACTGTCACATGGAAGCTGCTGAGCTTGGAGCATGCGGAGGAGGTGGATGGACGCTCGTCATGAAGACCGATGGCACCAAGGTAGCAGCAGCGGTGCAACAACTTTAGTATTCATTGTTAATATATTGCCCGCGCCGCGTTCATGATTGGATCCAATCCCTCGACTAATTATTCTTCATAGCCAACCGCCGCTTACCATATTTGGAAGATGTAGGAAATACATATGATCGATTTCTATGGTTTATTTAACAAGAATCGCCGAGAGGCGATTTTAACTGGGCTGCAAAGGGGCTATGTTTTCTGAGGGGAGGGGGCGGCTATACACACTCGGGGGGGCTACCATAAAACCTTGTCGTCGCCGACCATTGCATGCGACAGAATCTCATGTGAGACTGCAAGATAAACTCATTCAGAACATTGTACCGTTTTGAAAGACTTTCATGACCGAAAAAAAGAGTACCATTTTTAAGTGGGGGCCGTATAATAACTTTTAAATTCCACCATTATGAGTAAAAATAAACAAGTTAGCCATTAATTCTAAGCGGGAAACGATTTGCCTTATTTTCACGCTCCCCTCCCCTCCCCCAATCACCCCCCAAAATATAGCGTGACAGTATAACGTGACTAATTTGACGTAACCGGAAATTCCAAAAATTGTTGTCGTTCTACGAGCATAAAATGCGACAGACTGAGCTGATTTACACTAGACAGTAATATTGCATTGTATCAAAACCAGAAGTTTATTAAAACAGACAGCCAACTGCCCACTGATCCCGCCTGATCCAGGGGCCTCACTGACTGCACTGAGACTTTGTATATACTGCACGTTTCACAAACATGCCAACTCTAAACGCTGTGGCTATATGGCCGGTAACCGGTCAAGGTTTTCAAAACACTAAATGGCCGGCAGTCCTATATTCTCAGTAAATTTCACAAAATCGAAAGATTCTAGCTAATCTAAACTATGCATATGTCGATTAAGACAATTAAGTAAAGCGATCCTGAAATGCTTTATAGATCTCAAGTCTAGTGTTTGGTTTACGCTGGGCTCAGAAGACGAAACCGTGTTTTGTGACACTTAAAACTTTTTTCAGCTAGACTGCCGGTCAGGTTTTCAAAACACTAAATGGCCGGCAGTCCTATATTCTCAGTAAATTTCGCAGTCCACTCAGTGGCAAAGAACGAATAATACTCGATATTAATTCTGTACATCAACGCAAAGTTAAGATTACCTTGTACAAAAAAGGTTTTTTGTTTCATCATAACGTGGATGATGAAGTGTATTTCAGCTCCAGAAGCAGCAGACCCAACTATTAAACGCGTGAAGACTTTTCCCGCCGGTTTTCCGCGGAGGCCGTTTGAAAGGTCAAGATGTTATAACGTCAAACGTCGCCTATCACGCCATGCTTTGGACAGAAAATAGTAACGAACATCCAAAGACTCGAGACCAACAAAAACATGATATAGAAATCCCACAAAACCGGCTGGTTTGATCAGGATAACGACTTATGATAGTTCAGAACGGATGAATTTTTTCGATTTGTGAAATTTACCGAGAATATGAGACTGCCGGTCATTTAGTGTTGTTAACACCTTGACCGGTTACCGGCCATATAGCCACAGCGAACTCTAAAATTCAAAAGCCACCTTCACAATTGTGTTTTTCGCTGCCGTCATAATTACGATCACAAGCAACGAACCTTGAAACAGAGAAACACACAAAACGGATCGAAATCCAAAAATCACAAACCATGACCTTTTGAACCCGTGAAGTAAAGTTTTGTTTCCTAGGAGGTCCGTTAAGATGATTGACAGCAGCGAAAAACGCAATCGTCGGTTGGCTTCTGAACTTCAGAATCAGTAAATAGACGATCCTAATTTGCATTGCGGTCTACAGTCTACATGAAACCGCACTATCTTTTCCACAAGATAAAAAATATTCAGTTTTAAGATTTTCCTCTTGGTATTTTTCTCTAAGACGATCCTAATTTGCATTGCGGTCTACAGTCTACATGAAAACGCACTATTTTTTCCTCAAGATAAAAAATATTCAGTTTTAAGATTTTCCTCTTGGTATTTTTCTCTAACTTAAAGGAATAAAATCCTTTGCATTTTGTGACCTAAAAAAGTTTAAAGATTTCTCGCTCGCATGTTGCTTTCATCAGCACGCACTTCAAACTATGTAAATAGATGAAACGATCGATGACATATTTTTTACCTGATACCGATATGAGTTAAAAATTCGCTCGAGTTCACTGTTTGTCTCGCCCCTGACTAACTTTTCTTCATGGAAGATAACTATGCCGCTTTATAACTCCTCCAAAGTTTTTGTGCCAGCTAAACAAAATGGAAACACTATTCACAGTCCTTGGATATTAAAAAGACTGAACGTGACGCACAATTGTGCGTTTAACTGTTTCCTTCTGATCACATCTTCAAGCGAAGTCTCTCTTTTCAAGCGATTCATCTCAAGGCACAATAATTGACCCTTATATTAGTTAAAGCCCTATGGTTCATTCATATTAATGCTGTTTTTGCCCCTCACATTGACTGTGTTCGTTCGTATTCAAAACACCTTTACGAAAATAACGGTCGTATAAGTCACGTGTGTTATGTTTCGAGATAAATGGATTATACGCTTTTTTAAGTTTCCATTTTGCGGTGACTTCAGTTTACATCTCCATAAAATGGTAGAAGAAACATCAAGAAGCATCACGAGAGCTGAAAATTTTCAAAGGCATGTTTCTGAAACTCGCTAATGCTGACATCAATATAGCGTGCTTGCTGAATGGGAGAAAACACAGAATTGTGATCACAAGATCATGTACAAATTTAATGATAAAAGGGATGTTACTAAAACGGGGAACGGGGAGCGGGGAGCGGGGAACGGGGAACGGAAGTCTGGGAACGAGTTGTCAGCGGAAACCTCCACAAAAATCCAAAATGGCGGTCCAAACAACGAGAGAGAGAAAGAAGAAGACAAAGAAAGGAATTCGTGCCTTGGTTGAAATCAGGTGGGGACGAAATTGCAAATCCGACTCACATTTTACGTTTACGTTTTGAGCAGGTGGTATGTTTTTTCGATATTCAACCTGTTTCATTTACAATATGATAAGGTCTTAGGTCTTAGTTTTCGAGACACCTGGCACACTCACATTACTCCTGGATTACTCCGTTTACATTAGACCGTCGCTTAATCCTGCCTGTTTATCCCCCTGAATGTTCTCTTTTCCACTCAGACAAACTCTTGGAGAGTAAAGTTTTTATCCAAGCCCATTATATGCCCTGTTTTGAGAATGCTTGGTAAATAACTCGCAGGCATTGTAATGAGAAATAAACGTGAAATTTATTAATGCATGTACATATAGTGTTCTCGCGTTCTGTGCTTGAGTCAAACTTTGTACAGCTATTAGTATTTAAAACGAACGGCTAAAACTTGTTTTTTACAATTTTTTTATAACTGGGAAAGCTTGTTGTTGTTGTTAGTGTTATATTAAAGTCATTGAGTGATGAATTATGAATCGTGTAAGGTCAGGGTTTAGCATTGAAAGCAGGGTTAAGCACTGACTTCAAGAAGGTGGTGGACAAAACACTGACCCCCATTCCATGAACTACCCCCAATGACTACCCTAAAATGGACTATGCCACTGAAGTTAAGTGATTAGGGTTAGGAAACTGAGTGAATCAGGTTCGATTTAGGGTCCTTATACTGGGAAAACTGACCTAAAACTTCATTCACTCAGTTTCCTAACCCTAATCACTAAACTTCAGGGGTGTAGTCCATTTTAGGGTATGTCCATGAAGTGTAGGTCAGTGTTTTGTCCACCACCCTTTCCCTTTGGGAAAATGCTTTAACTCTTTTCTGACGGTCAAAATTCGGCATAAATCAAACCATGGAAAACAGTTGTGGTCAAAAATTCATAAAATATATATTACACGCTTAAATTGTTCAAGTAATATACCATTTTAAAGCTTATTTACTGTAGAATTAAATTGATCTTCTAAAATTCTACTCGCTACAGATTAAGTCTACATTTTTTGCCATTCAATGTGGGTTGTAGCTTGGAAAATGTACCATTTGAAACGGTGTTTTCCACAAAATTGCCCACATGAGCCCTCAAATGAAATAAAAAGTACAGATTTCTGTTTCCACAAAGGTTGTTGATGCTAAAAATCTGTAAAAATATGGCTTGAACGGAGCGCGAGTGAGAGAGCACTAAACGAAGGCTCACCTTCTGGCGTATTTTCCTTGAAATTCTGCCATACAAGTCCTTTACAAAGTTTGAGGTGTGTTCGAAGTAATACGAGAAAAAAACAATATTTCTGGCAATATTTTGTCATTTTTCATAAATAAAAAGCAAATTCATGCCCAGAAAACGTTCTTTTTGGAAAGTACTTCATGTAAGACAGACGCTACCCACAATTTTAACGCTGACCAGTTAAACGGCTCTGGTACATATTTGTACCGCACTGAGTGACTTCGTCAGAAAAGAGTTAATCTTCAACCAAATTCTGTCATCTAAATCTTTAACGAAATGTAAAGAGATAAGTGTGGACAATGTTATTTGTATGTAGATAATGAAGCTTAGAGGGTTAAGGTATGAGTAGGTATGACTAGGATCGTTATGTCGAGTTAACCAAATGGGTTAGGTAGAAACTAACATGTCTGTAAGTGGCCGCCTAAATACTTTTATGATATTGTATAGTTCCCTTCATATACATTACTCTTTAGCAAAAAGGGGGCCAGCGCATTTCTTTATATCAAGCGATAACGGGTTGATAATAGAACCCTATGCCAGCAAATTGTTACAGTCAAGAGATCTCTACCAAAATCCTTCACAACAAAGGAGTATCTTTAAAAAAATGATGAGAATTTGCTTTTACACCCATTTTATATTCAGAATGACATTTCAAATTGATTTTGATATTTGTATCTTTTGACCATAGCTAAAGCTATTTTTCAAGAAATTGGTGCGGGGCAATGGAACAGCTAGTTTGTTTTCAGAGTTCCTTAAATTATAAGGTGGATTATATTTAGGGAAAAGAGAACCAAGATAGTCGGGCGCAAGACCATGTATAGATTTATAGACCATGGTGGCCACTTGTATTTGTCGCTGAGTATCCAACCGTTTCCAGTTGAGTTGCTCAAGAAGAGGATCAGCGCTTGTAAGGTGGATTATATTTAGGGAAAAGAGAACCAAGATAGTCGGGCGCAAGACCATGTATAGATTTATAGACCATGGTGGCCACTTGTATTTGTCGCTGAGTATCCAACCGTTTCCAGTTGAGTTGCTCAAGAAGAGGATCAGCGCTTGTGTCATAACTGGAGAAGGTTAGAATACGGGCAGCCCGGTTTTGCAACTTTTGGAACTTATTCGAAAGACTTTTGTTACAATGCCCCCAGACCTCGGTGCAGTAATTAAAGTACGGTTGAACTAAGGCATTGAAAACGGACTCCAGCGTGGTTCGATTAACAAAAGGCCTACAACGTTTAATTGCTCCAATGCCCGATGCGATTTTCTTGGCTATTTTTTCAATGTGCATATTCCATGAAAGGTTTTCGTCTATATGCACACCCAGAGATTTAACCGAGCTAACTTGTTTAATTATGTCACCACCTATGATTAGTTTAGGGGAAGTATCGTAAGTACCTAACCTTTGCCGCGATCCAATTAACATGAACTCAGTTTTAGATGAATTGAGAGTCAATTTGTTTGCAGTGAGCCATGTATTAACATTGGATAGGTCGTGATTCATGACATCATTGATCGTTTCTATGTTGTTACTGGCAAAGGTCAGGTGAGTATCGTCGGCATACATACGTGCAACTGAATTAGACAGGCAATTAGGAAGATCATTTATGTATAAAATAAAAAGCAAAGGTCCTAGAATTGTTCCTTGCGGAATGCCACAAGTGAGAATTTGACTATTTGAGAGCGAACCATTTACGAAACACTGTTGATTACGATTATCTAGGTATGACCTAAACCATTCATAAGCGTTACCGCGGATACCATATTCGAATAATTTAGACAGAAGAATTGTATGGTCAACGGTATCGAAAGCTTTTTTTAGGTCGAGGAAAACTACTGCATTTACACTGCCTTTATCAATGTTGAAGGCCCAATCGTTAGTGGCCTCCAACAAGGCAGTAACAGTTGAGTGGAGCGAACGAAAACCAGATTGTTGGCTGGAAATCAAATTGTTTTCAGTAAGATAACCGTAAACCTGGTCGTAGATGATACGTTCAAACACCTTAGCTACTATAGGGACGATAAACAGCTTTTAAACAATAAGCTGAAAGGAAGCTAAGATACCGTCAGCTTTTGGATGGGGATACAGGTATTGAAATATCAAATTTTGAAAACTGCCAATCCATACTTGTCCGCACTGTATGGGAGTCCGTTGTGTAAACCATTCCGGCTCATGTTTAAAATTAGCTGTTAGTTACTTATTTAAGCTTTGGTATGAATGGGGTATATGGGCGTGATTTCAATCCAGTGCAATCCTGGCGCAAGTTTTATTTTAATAGCGTTTCGGATGAATTTTTAGTTTTATAATGAAGGACCAGAATTTTGTACGAAGACTGGTTTGATTTAATTTTTACCCTTTTTTGGCATATTTTCTACCATATTAATATTGTTAAGCAAAAGTGGGCGATCCGAGATAGCCCATGGGGAGAATCTTGTGTGCCGCTCGCGAAAATGTTACCGCGGAGGTTTCTTACAAGAATAGGGCTTTACTGACAAACCATGAGGCTAATATGGCTCGAATTCGGCTGAGTTTTTTTTTATTTGCGTTTTTATGAACCGAGACCGACTTGAGGTCCATAAAAACGTGGAAAAGAACCAGCCCAGTATCCAGTCATATTGACCGAACATTTGGTAAATAAAAGATTTATTACATGCCCAAAAAGGAAATTGTTTCTCGTGAGAAGGGGCACAGACCACAGGATTCGCTTCATCTTGACGGGTCGTAAAACGGCCTGTCATATAGTGTAGCCTCTTCACACTGGCTCACTAGCAGAACCGAGATGGCGGCCATTGACCATCATCACGACGAAATGTTTAGAGGAATCTCGCCATATCACGTCATTAATACCTTAGCGTGGTTATTTATTATTTAAGGTCTTCATGGCCTAAATATTCTCAAAACTGTATGTGGAGGCCGGGAGAGGAGGTTGGATGTGGTTGTTCCCAAAGCCAACACGACCAAATTGAATAGTCTTGCCAACTTTTGGAGTAGAATGTGACCAAGATGACATGTGAAAATGGTCTGTTAATTTACGATATATGACTATCATTTTCTTCTTTTATCTGTTTAGAGAACCTTTCACTACGATTCCACATTGTGGACCGACACGAGGGACTATGATTCCTCTTCAGGGAATACCCTGTTTGATCATCAAGAGACAAAATTACCCACCTACTGGAGCACACCATTTTCTAAGATCTGCCTCGCTATGAAGATCGACAGCCAAGTTAAATCGATCGTCATCTACAGACAGGCAAACTCCTTGTACTCCTTGATCGCTGACGGAGAATATCGTTCGACCTCATTGGGTCGTAACACGTGGAAAAAGCTGATTGGCATACAGGCTTCGCTGCAGAAAAATTGTAACCGAGAGGGTTTCAATTCTGGGACATCATCAAGAAGGGCAAGAATTGGCATCATTAGTAACAACGAAAATGATTGCAAGACGTGCGACTCCAGAATTGGGTTTGGTACCGCAGGGCACCCTGATGATAGCAACACCTGTGGAAACGTAGCAAGGTATGGTGGGGACAATGGCGATAAGCACATAAAAGCCATGGGTTACATCTTGGTGCAATGAGAATCAAATAAGCTGGTTCCATTGCAGTTCACGCCGGATGATGATCAAATGGATTTTACAACGCTTATATAAATTGTAGACTTACAGGCTTTCTTTAGGCCAGAACGATTTGTAGAAATTCAGTTGAATAAATGCATTGCTCAAAACAAACACTTTCTCTCTGTTCTCCTCTGTCGCTTCATCCATGGCCGCACGTACGGCGTACAATACAATAATATTTAACAATTATTCGTCGAAGGCTCAGTTAATATTGTTGAATAATTATTCAACAATATTAGGTGAATAATTGTTTTAGTATATTTTAATACGAAATGATCTCAACAGAATCAGAAAGGAAACCATTAAAAAAGCGGTGAGGGTAAAAGGCGGAATGAGTTTGCGGAATGGCATGTGGCATGGCTTGCGGAATGACATAATTATGCAGAATGTAAAATATGGAAACTGGCGCAAAGAAATGAATTAAACTGAAAGGCATGCGCGCGTCATTGCCGCGCCTTTTTTGGCGCCAATTTGAGTGAGCAACTGCTTCACTGGTTGACGCATTTAGGCATTTATCTAAAACATACCTGAGAATTGGCTAGGGTTCCTGAAGGTAGCCTCCAAACGAAAACATTAAAGTCCGGTAAATATAGTGAGGCGTGACCAAAATAACTTAGTCTCCTCGATTGTAAAGTAACAAGACGAAATATCTTCTTTTTCCGTTATCCTTAGCGAATTACCATAGTTAAAATCCTTATTTTTCTATAGAAGGGAGTACCAGAATACTTAATTGTGCGGTTAATTTTTTGCTTCTTCAAAATACTGTCGGCACCGAAAATGTTACTCCTTCGATAAGAATTACGTTGCGTTACTTCCGTCTCTTCAAACGTACAATGTGACACGTGTAGTCACGGAACAGACTGTCACGCAGAGTCGCAGACAGGTAAAGTTCAGTGTCTCAAAATGGCTAAAATTAACCCAGTTTCACCTTTTTACCCCATTGTTTGATTGAAAAAAGCAATTTTGCAAACGAAAAACCTACAAGACGTACGAAAAACGAGCCTTTAGGCTGTAAATTTCTATTTATGTGCGTTCTGAAATTGGAAGTGTTTACACAATACAGACAATTACCGCCAGCCTATTCCTGAACTTCGATGGTGTCTTACAGAGATTTCCTTCACTTACCCAAGCCAATTCCCCGGTATGTTTTAAATGAATGTCTAAATGTGTGATTTAAATACCAAGAAGAGAATCTGGAGTTATACCACATGTTAAATATTGCCGTCGAAAATGAGTAACGAACTTAAATTTTGTCTCTCATTTTTAAAATTATTTCAGTACGACCAGCTTCCCTATTGTCCAGAAAAAATCTTCTAGTGGAAGGAAAGAATTTTTCTGTTCTTGGAAAGTGTCCAAATTTCTCCATCCAGCTTCGTTTGCGAACGCGAGGAAAGTTGATGTTAGCGAATTTCAGGTTAAAAATTAATGCAGTCTGAGACGGACTCCGACATCGAAAACCGATCTTCTATTTTTTCTCACCAATGAAAGGCTTTCGGCGGGAACAATCTACGTTAGGTTTCTTATAAACCTAAAAGCTATCTATGAACAAAAATGAAAGAACTTGATTTTTCAACTCTTGCCACGAAATTAACATTTTGGTCGATTTTTCTGTTTCGCACGTCTCAAGCTCGCAACTGAGGAAACAAAATACAGGATTCGATTCATCTCTGAATATTATCAATTATGGCACGATGACGTAACCCACAGTCTCATAAAGAAACACTTCTCACACGGTTTGGAATACAAATATAGGTAACAAGAAACTCTTAAGTTAATCGTACAAACATCTTTTGCTGAAAAAATTAATTAAAGTAGAAGGGAGCGTGACCTTCGAAAACATCTTTTCTTCAACAGACGAAGAACCTTTTCTGCTGTGCGGACAAGGCTGGTCGACAAATGAGCCTTCGTGGTTTTTTGATTGTCATCGTATGTTAAGCCCGCAACATTAAAACAGAGGCTGCGTTTGCAAATTGATTGGCGCCAAAAAAGGGCGCTCTTTTCGGTTTAATTTATTTCTTTGAAAACGATCTGCGTATATTAAATTCCGCATAATTATGCCATTCCGCAAGCCATGCCACATGCCATTCCGCAAACTCATTCCGCCTTTTACCCTCACCGTTAAAAAAGCGATTAGTTAAAATGATTGACGAGTGAATTCATGCGTGAACACGAAGCCGTAAACAGTGGATCTGCAAAAGTTAGATCTTTACAGTATCTTCAAACATGGCAAATGACAGTTTTAATCTTTTTGTATCGATTTTTGTAAGCTTTAGTATCAACGGTTTAAAAGAATTCCTACCCAATTCTGACAAGAAAAGTAGAGCTTTATTTGTTTCTCTCAACTCACCGTGAATGAGAAATTTTTTTTTTGTCGCTTCTTCCAATGCTGTCAACAGCGACTACGATCAAGGTGAGCGTTGTTAATCTGTAGTGTTCTTTGCCTTGTTAACTTGCTAGCACATAAAATTTTCCAAATATTTGCCTTCCTTTTCTCTCCATAAATTAATTTCTATTTATAGGCCAAATTGGTCTTGTGAGAAAATCCCGAAATCACAAAACAGTGACAAAGCGGCCTCGTACGCGTTTTCCTCTTTAGTGGTAAACATAGCTTCGAGCGTACAAAAAGTCAGCTACAGTAAACCACTTTACAATGGGGGACTAGGACGAGTAAGATGGCGGAAGGAGGTGTTTTGTCAGCTCCGTAATTCTTGTTAGCCTGGGAGGAATGTAACGTCCTAAAAAAATCACTTGAATCAGCGTGGAATGTCATCGCAGACCTACAAGCAGAATTTAAGTCACACGCAGACTTCAAGGAAACCTACCAATTGAAGTAGTTTGGATAATGTGAAAAGTGAACTGGCTATGACTTCATCAAAGAATGCCAAGCTCGAGACCGAAATTGACGCCTTGAAAGTGAGATTTTTGGAGGAGCAGTAGAAAGTAATTGCTCTTGAAAATTATTCCCGGCGGGAAAACCTACGTTTCATGAACCTACCAGAACAAGAAGGTGAAAACTGTGCAAACATCATTAACGATATCATCGAAAACGAGCTAAACAAAGATGTTGAGAATCTTCAATTCCATGCTATTCATAGAGTGGGAAAACGGCGTTCGTCGGACGAGACATCGAAAGCTTAATTATCCAAGGCCAATCATTGCACGCTTTCTGTTCAGAGAGGACAGAGGTATGGTACTAAAAGCGAATGTAAGGCTGCGAATCTCTTCGCAATATGAAAACGTGTATATTACGCAAGACTATGCCAAAGCTATTCAAATGGAGAGAAACGTTTTAATCAAGGCTATGTTTCTGGCCCGCAAGAAAGGTATGAATGCAAGGGTGGTAGACAGAAACTTGGTGGTAAATAACAATGTTTATAACCGGTCAGTGTAAAACGCAGACTGCGGACTGCAGACTGCAGACTAAGAGTAAAACGCAGGCTGGGATAAAATGCAGAATAAAGACTGTAGACTTTTTTAAACATTTGTGCTCCTTCTTCAAATCGGTGAAATAGCTAGCCGGTATCAGTCACACACTTCGCTTCCTAGTCGCAGTGAATTGCACATTTGCCAGAAGTTTCAATGAACATCCAAACAGCTTAAGTCTGCGTACCTTGATTTGCAATACTTTCATAGAAGGTCATCCAAATTTCCTGCAGAACATCTTTCTTTGTTGTTGGAATGACTTACTCCCTTTTTTATCGCCATAATTCTTCCTGTACAGTATTTTGGGTCAGCAGCTTTCATTTAAGCGTAGACAACATCGTGGTGTTGTACCAATTCACGGTCCCTGGTCACGTATATCGAAAACTTCGCATCAAAAGTTCAAGCGTGAAGACTCTCGGATGGAAAAAAGGTTCAAGATTGCGATTATGTTTTCGGGTCGTCGACGACGTTCCAGAGAAGAAAGGAATGGATTTGTGAAAGCAGATGTCATCAAGTAAGTGTTCGTTTACATGTATTGCGGGATTTTTTTGCCCTTAAACCCTTCCACGACTACAGTTTATGCTCGGTCTGCATTTTATCCCAGCCTGCGTTTTACTCTTAGTCTGCAGTCTGCATTTTACACTCAGTCTGCATTTTACCCCTGGTCCGCAATCTGCAGTCTGCAGTCCGCAGTCTGCGTTTTACACTGACCGGTTTATAACGTAGATAACATCCCGGGTAATCTAAAGGAATCTAACACCCTTAATTCGAATTCTAGCTGAACGATCTTTCTACGCTTTATTAGTTACACGTACAGAACGCAAACAAACTCCCCCAGCCTCGTACCCAGGCCAGTTCGCGGAGGAGGCCTGGAACTAAGTGCGATAGCGCGAGGCCTGGCAAAAAATGGGTAAAAAGTCCCAGATCGACGAGAAAAAGTCCCAAATAATTTCTCGACGAAAATCCTTTGTTTTCTGCGACGATCACGGAATATTTCGGACTCATGAGATTAATACATCTCTTCCGAGCATCTTTGGACCGTTTCAACTGTTAGCAACGAAATGTGGCGGGCATGTTTTCCCAACAACACTGGTAAGTTAAGCATATTGTTTACAGTCTTGTTCGTACACGAAGTTAAGCTAGAAAAAAGTTTCTTCGTAGTTGGGCATGGGACGATCACACTAGTATCAAAGGCTTCATTTTCATTGAACAAAGTGGGCGTTGATTTCCTAGTTACAGGGCTATAGTGGGCTTATTTTGCCTATGTTGTTCGAATTGTTGGTAGGAAAAAAATCACGAGAATCATTTACACGGTTTCGCGCGAAAAGCAAAAAAAAAAAACACTACATGCCATTTTCAGCTGTTTGAATATGCTTTTTGCTCTTTATAATAACCTAGTACCTTGAACTTGTACCTTGCAGCTCCCAGTTCATGTAGAACATTCTAATAGTCTATTTAGAAAATAACACCAGTAACTCATGTAATATTCGGGTGTCTTAGTTTTACCCGATTTTTAATATGACTATCATTCAGTCCGG